CGGGGGCGTGTTTTCTTTTGTGGCGGGTTGGGCTGTGGTTGTGTGGCTTGTGTGGGGTGTGTGGTTGGGTTGGTGTGGCGTGTGGGGGGTTTGGGCGTGTGTGTGTGGCGTGTGGGGTGTGGCGTGTGTGTGTGGCGTGTGGTGTGGCGTGTGTGTGTGGCGTGTGTGTTGGCGTGGTGTGTGGCGTGGGGTGTGCGTGTGTTGTGGCGTGTTGGTGGGGGGGCGGGTTTGGGGGGGTGATGTGGCGTGTGGTGTGTGGGCGGGGTGTGGGGCGGGTTGTGTGGCGTGTGTGTGGGGGGGGGTTGGGTGTGGCGGTGTTGGTGGGGCGTGGGTTGTGGGGCGTGTTTTGGGGTGGTGTGGGTTTTGGGGTTGGGGCGTGTGTGTGGGGGCGTGGTGGTGTGTGCGGGGTGGTGTTGGTGGCGGGTGTTGGGGGGGGTGTGGCGTGTGTGTGTGGGCGTGTGTGTGTGTGTGGCGTGGTGTGTGGTGGCGTGTGGTGTGGTGGCGTGTGTGTTGTGGCGTGGTGTGGGGTGGCGGGGGTTGGTGGCGTGTGTTTTGGTGGGCGGGTGGTGTGGGTTTGTGTGTGTGGGGTGTTTGTGTTGGTGGTGGGTGGGGGTGGGTGTGGTGGGTGGTGGGTGTGGTTTGGGGGGGTGTTTGTTTGGGGGTGTGGTGGTGTGGTGTGTGGTGGGTGGGGGTTGTGGGGTGGGTGTGGGGTGTGGGCTGTGTGGGGGCGGGGTGGTGTGTGGGTGTGTGTGGGTGTGGGCTGTGTGTGGGCATTGTGGTGTGGTTGGGTGGGGTGTGGGTAGCATGTGTGGTGTGTGGCATGTGTGGGCGGGGTGTGGGGTGCCGTGTGTGTGGGGGCGTGCGGTGTGGCGTGCGTGTGTGGCGTGCGTGTGGCGTGCGGGTTGTGGCGTTGGTGTGTGGGGTGCTGTGTGCGTGCGTGTGGGCGTCGTGTGGGCGTGGTTTTTGGCTGCGTGTGTGGTCGTGTGTGGCGGCGTGGTGGCGTGCGTGTGGGCGTGGTGGGGCGTGGGGCGTTTTCAGGGTTCGCAAGCATGAAATGTCATATATGGAGAAGTGTCCAAAAAAATGAATTTTAAAAGTTGTAAGAAAATTTTTAAATAATTTTAATTATTTGGGGTCGTAAAGTACTCTACTGTAAATAAAAGAAATTCTGTTAATGTTTTTATTTTCCAAGGATTTTTGGGTAGGAGTAAGGTGGTTTGGGAATCATGACTTAGCATGGGTAAGAGCGGCGTCGGAGTTGCTTGTATTTAAGATAAGTTTGTAGTTGTACACTCATTTTGTTTATCCAACTCAAGCCATAGGCTCGCATATGGCTTACCTGTATGTTCACCCAGGCTCTGACATGGTCAGGGTGCTGTGGGATGAGTGAAGAAATAAGAAATGAGGTTTGTAGTGTAAGTGACGACCTGGCGCTGACTAGGCTGGACCGCCAGCCACCTGCTGCTTGTGCCTTTATTTGGGCGTTTAGGGTAGGAGATACATGAAGGTGTTTTCTAGAGTGTGTATATACTGTTATGTTGAATAGATATATTTTCCTAACTAGGAGTTTTGCCTAACCCTCTTGTTAGCCAATCCATTGAAGTGGCAAATAGTGGTTTAGCTCTTTCTGTTTTGACTGGGATGGTCCTGGGTGGCCTGTTTATGCCTGAGTGGTGTGAAACTTTTACCTTTACCCTTAGACCAGGCTCAAGCCCCCAGCTATCCCACATTTCTGTGTAACAGTGGCGTGTGTGTGGGGCGTGTGTGGCATGTGTGTGGCGTGTGTGTGTGTGGCGTGTGTGTGTGTGGCGTGTGTGTGTGTGGCGTGTGTGTGTGGTGGGGGGGCGTGTGTGTGTGGCGTGTGTGTGTGGGCGTGTGTGTGTGGCGTGTGTGTGGCGTGTGTGTGTGGGGTGTGTGTGTGTGGCGTGTGTGTGTGTGGCGTGTGTGTGTGGCGTGTGTGTGTGGCGTGTGTGTCTCTGTCTGTGTCTGTGTGTGTCTGTCTTAATGTCTTCTTGTCTCTCAGTCACAGGGAGCAACCTGTAAACCAACAAGTATTACACATCCGAGTTGTGAAAATGCGTATTTATCGTGTCACAATTTTTTTTTTTTTTTCCAACAAATCGGCCATCTCCCACCAAGGCAGGGTGACAAAAAGAAAACACCAACATCATCCAACTCTTTCCACCTCACTCATACATAATTCACTGTTTTTGCAGAGGCTCCCAGTTACAACAGTTTAGAAGCCTATATAAAGACACATAACATATCCCTCTAAACTGCCAATATCACAAACCCCTCCTTTAAAGTGCAGGCATTGTACTTCCCATTTCCAGTACTTAAGCCCGGCTATATAAAAAATAACCGGTTTCCTTGAATCCCTTCACCAAATATTACCCTGCTGACACTCCAACAGCTCGTCAGGTCCCAAAAGTCATTCATCTCCATTCACCCCCATCTAAGATGTTCAAACACGCTTTCTGGTAGTCCAAGCCCCTCCTGGAGGTTATTCCGGGGATCAATGCCCCCGTGGCCCGGTCCATGACCAGGCCTCCCGGTGGATCAGGGCCTGATCAACCAGGCTGTTACTGCTGGCCGCACACAGTCCAACGTACAAGCCACAGCCCGGCTGATCCGGCACTGACTTAGGGTATCCGTCCAGCTCTCTCTTGAAGGCAGCCAGGGGTTTATTGGTAATTCCCCTAATGCTTGATGGGAGGCTGTTGAACAGTCTTGGGCCCCGAGCACCTATGGTGTTTTCTCATAGTGTAACAATGGCGCCCCTACTTTTAATTGGGGGTATCTTGCATCGCCTGCCCAGTCTTTTACTTTCATAGGGAGTGATTTCTGTGTGCAGATTCAGGACCATTCCTTCCAGGATTTTTCCAAGTGTAGATTATTATATATATCTCTCTCCTGCGTTCCAACGAATACAAGTCAAGTGCTTCCAAGCGTTCCCAGTAATTAAGGTGCTTGACAGAACTTATACGTGCAGTAAAGGATCTCTGTACACTCTCAAAATCTGCAATTTCACCTGCTTTGAATGGTGATGTTAGTGTACAGCAGTATTCCAGCCTAGAGAGAACAAGTGATCTGAAAAGGATCATCATTGGCTTGGCATTTCTCATTTTGAACGTTCTCATTATCCATCCTATCATTTTCTTTGCACTTGTGATCGTGGAACAAAACCTCCTTAACCCCCTGCCTCCAACCTTTTCGAGGACGACCCCTACCCCGCCTTCCTTCCCCTACAGATTTATACGCTCTCCATGTCATTCTTTGATCCATTCTCTCTAAATGACCAAACCACCTCAACAATTCCTCTTCAGCCCTCTTGACTAATACTTTTATTAATTCCACACCTCCTAATTTCCACACAACGAATTTTGTGTGTGTGAGGGTTTGTACACAAGTGTGCAAGTGTGTACATGCACTCTCGTGTGTAAGCGTGCATGTTTGTACATACATGTTCGTGTGCGGGATCGATAGTGAGTGAAGGCTAGAGGTGTTTATGACTAATTGCTGTTGGAGTATGAGCCAGGTAACATTTATGAAAGGATTCAGGTAACAGGTTACTGGCCTTGATTCCTCGAAGTGGGAAGTACAGTGTCTGCACTTTGATGAAAGGGTGCGGATAATTATGTTTGGAGGGGCATCTGAGGTGTATTATCAGCACACCCCTAGCATGACAGTGATGATGAAAAGCATTTCTTTCTCAAGTCACCCCTACCTCAGTGGGAGATAGTGTAAATAAAATGACAAATCACCATTCCATGCACCTAGAACACAATCAAGCAAAAGGCTTCTTCAAATATGAGTGACAGAATCAAGGTTGTGACAATACCATTGACACTTCAGAAAGGATTTATTTATTTATTTATTGGCAAAGGCACCTGCATACCATAGTTGTGAATCTGTTAATGACTTGACATTACTTTGATTCTCTTGCTAGATAAATCTGCCATAGAAAGCATATCAAAATTCTTTGCTACAGTAACTAACCTCTAATTCCTTCACTTTGAGCAATTCGCCATCTTTGATGTGGTTAAAGATTGTGTCTCCCACTTCTCTTGTAAAATTGTCGTCTCATTAGCCTTCTGACTTATCTGAAAGGTAAAGATTATCTATATAGTTTCAGCATGTTATATTAAAAGAATGAAGAAAACTGGTTTCAAGGATTCCATGTGCTATATGCACGAGTATATCAAGGTTAACATTGAGAGATGTAGGCTAACCAGTTAGCCTAACTCGAGTCCTGGATTCGGAGAGTGCAATGCATGCACTTAGTGACATTGCAGCTCATAGTCATTTGATTTATGATGTCTGTGCACTTCTGCCAAGACAGTTAGGGGAGGGGGGAGGGGTGGTTGATCATCTTTCCAAAGGAAATGGCCAATGAGAAAAAAAAATAGTGAAAAGTTCTACTTCCAGTAATTTTATTACACGCTAAAATGTTTGAATGAAAATTTAAGCTTTTGCTACACAATTAGAAAATAAGTACAAAGCTAAGAGGGCTGTCTCTAGCCACTCCATTCCCAACCAGCCATTATCAACAGATTTTTTAAAAACCATTTACCAAATTTACAAATTAAGCTATCTTAATTTTTATTTCCATCAGAGCAATGTTCTTATTTATTTCCTTTCATCTTGATGAAGTGGAATAATACTGCTTTCCCAACCCCCATCATTTGCATTTTGTATTAGCTGACTAAGATGCTGGAAGCAAGGGGAGGGGGTAATAACTCCTACTTTATAAATTACTAAAAATAAGAAAAACTATGTAAAATTACTAGGAAAAAACCACAAAGAATGAGAGAGTATATACAAGTCCTCATACTTGACATATCTCAAGTACGAGGACTTGCATATACTGAACTTTGTGTTTTTTTTCCTATTAATTTTACATATTTTTTCTTAATTGTAGTTGATTTTTACATCTAGTGCACATCTGAGTAAAAAAAAAATTACATAATTTAAACTTGCTGAGAACTTTGCTACACCTCTTAATTACTGGACAGTATGAAGAAACTGCTTTACGTACAGTTTTAATGCACACAAGAACCCCGGATTTCGGCAATTATCTGATCCAGAATTTCATTCAAAATAGGGAAAGTGCAAAAACCAAAGTAATATTTCCCATAAGAAATAATGTAAATACAATTAATCCGTTCCAGACACCCAAAAATATTCACAAAAAACTTCATTTTTTAAAGAATAACTATAGTTTTACAAACAGAAAACAATGAGAAATAAATATAAAGCACAAATTTTAATGATAAATGAACATTAAATACCATTATTGACGACTCTTGTTGGCGTTGTAAAGAAGGCGAGTAGGGGGGAGGGAGTTGGGGGTTATTGTTTGGGAGGAAGATCCCCCTCCATAAGGACTTCAAGTACAAAGTCCCTAACCAGGGTTAGTTCCTTTCCTTGTCTTTTACTGGCACTAGGACCAGCTTGAGTCACTGCACCCATGTTGCACAAAAAAAACTGTCCAGAGGGGTCTGTTTCTGGCATCTCTAAGATTTGCCTGAAGTGAGACAAGGTATTGTCACTGAACATGTTGCAGATACGGCTTGTTTGAGCTTGGTCAAGGTGATATTTCTTCACAAAACGTTCAAATAATTCCTCTTTGCATAATTAATATCTATAATCACTGAAGAAGGCACACATTCTTCCTCTCTTCTCCTCCTTGAAGCAATTTCAAATCTGTGGTCTGTTGCTGTTGCAGATGAAGGTTCTTTGCAGCCTCTTAAATGTTAGATTTCCTGTGGTCCTCCACCAACTCTTCACATCCTTGCCACTCACTCAACCCACATGGACTTCCCCAAAAGACAACCAATAGATTTTCCACAAACAGGCAGAGGGTTGACTGGGTCAGGATCAGCTCCAAACACTTCTAAAAATCCTTGTCAAAGGACACATTCTGGCCACATTTTTCTCCAAGGAGTAGGTTCAAAAGTCCTTGAAGTACTCCCTGCCAAGCCTTTACCTGAAAGATTATGCATGGTGGATAACTTCTCTTTAGGGTCTATTCCAATGTCCTCAAAGTCAACTTCAAAGCCCCTTTTAAACATTGCTTTGGTGTAGAGTGGCCCACAGATGGCTCAAAACTTATTCCTGTTCCTTCTTGTATGCTCCTATAACAATGAATACTGCTTTCAAATGTGATGATGTAGGTAACGCTCTTAGCTTGCAATAAAGTTAGGAATCAGTAACCCTGTAATATTGCTTGTCAATAAAGATAGGGTTCCTTAACCTTGTTCAAACCCTGTGTAAAAAAAAGTGGCGTTGGGGATGTGTAGTATCAAGTGTTTACATTGAGCCATATATTATGAACAGTATTTAGATAAAGGTAGGGAAGTTTTTAATGCATTTATGGATTTGTAGAAAAGGCATATGAATAGAGTGTATAGGGGCAATGTGGGTCAGATGTTTTTGCTAAGTATATGGAAATAGGAATTATGTTACTAAATGCTGTGATGAAGAGTTTTTATGCCCACAGGAGATAGTGAGACTCAGGGTTAATGTGTTTGTAGAATGAGAGGGGAGAATACTTCCCAGTAAAGGAGGTCTTAGCAGTTAGGCAGATGATGTGTAATGTCAAATGGTTGATTAATATATTTATAGATGAGGGTTGTAAAAGAAGGTAAATGCTATGGGTGTTTGGAGTGAGAGTGGGGTAAATTATGGGGAATCAAATACAAACATGGCGAATTGTCACAGTTGATTTTCTGCTGATGATACTGTGCTTATGGGAGATTCTAAGAAAATTGCAAAGGTTTTTGTGGACGATGTTTGGGATGGTGTGGTAAAGGTAGTAGAAAGTTGAAGTGCAAACATACGAAAAGAGTATGGTGATGAGGGTTCATATGATTTTGAATAGAGATAAATTGTATATCTCAAATTGGGAGGAGGAGTATGAAGAAGTGAATGTTTTCAGGTAACTTGGGAGTCGAAGTTGTCAAGCGTATGGATATTATTGAAGGATGAGGTTCATAGAGTTATTGAATGGGGATAGAAAAAAAGGTGTGTGGTGCATTGAGGTATATGTGGAGACATAAAAACAATTATCTATGGAGGCCAAAGAAGGGAATGTATGAAAGTATAGAGTACCAACACTTCTTATATGGGAGTGAAGCTTGGGTTGTGATGCAGCAGTGAGGCGGCAGTGGAGGCAGTGAGAGATGTCCTGTCTATGGGCAATGTGTCGGTGTAAATATTATGCAGAAAATTGGAGTGTGGAAATTAGGAGAAGGTGTGGAGTTAATAAAAGTATTAGTCAGAGGGCTGAAGAGGGGTTGTTGAGGTGGTTTGGTCATTTAGAGAGAATGGATCAAAGTAGAATGACATGGAGAGCATTTAAATCTGTAGGGAAAGGAAGGCGGGGTAGGGGTCATCCTCGACAAGGTTGAAAGGAAGGGGTAAGGGAGGTTTTGTGGGCGAGGGGCTTGGACTTCCAGCAGATGTGCCTGAGCGTGTTAGATAGGAGTGAATGGAGACGAATGGTATTTGGGACCCGACGATCTGTTGGAGTGTGAGCAGGGTAATATTTAGTGAAGAGATTCAGGGAAACCGGTTATTTTTACATAGCCGGACTTGAGTACTGGAAATGGGAAGTACAATGCCTGCACTCTAAAGGAGGGGTTCGGGATATTGGCAGTTTGGAGGGATATGTTGTGTATTTTTATATATATATGCTTCTAAGCTGTTGTGTTCTGAGCACCTCTGCAAAAACAGTGATTATGTGTGAGCGAGGTGAAAGAGTTGAATGATGATAAAAGTTTTCTTTCTGAGGATTTTCTTTCTTTTTGGGTCACCCTGCCTCGGTGGGAGACGGCCGACTTGTTAAAAAAAAAAAAAGTTTGGATGAATGAGCGGAGTGTTGTTCACTCACCGAGAGAGACAGCCAGACTGACTCGCGCACACGATGGAGTGGCGGACATGTCCAATACGACCGATTTCCGAGTTGGCGGCCGAAATCCAGGACAGAACATTGACGAAAAAAGTGGCCAAAATCTGATTTGACCGAAATCCACACCAGCCAGTATCCAGGGGTCCACTGCATTGTATAAAATATCAATAAAGTAAACAAACACAGCCAGACTACAATATTTAATTTAATATCCTTGTGGTCATAACTTCAAATATATTGAAGATGTATATTACATTAAGAATGCTTGGTTGCAAATCTTTGAAGTAAACTGATAAATGAGAAAAAGTAAAATAGGAGAAGCAATAAATAAGAGAAAACTAAGGTGTTGAGGGTATATTCAATGGCAAGGTTCCCAAAAATTGGGCTTAACAGTAATGTTTCAAGGATTACTCAGCAGCCCAGTCTCAGACAAGACCTTTCTCGTTACAGTGCCACTTGCTGCATGCACACAGCAATAAACACCAAAGTCCAGTTTGGTCAAAAAATTTGATGAGGTTTCCTGATTGAAGACAGTCAGGGGACTATTTCCAGTTCTATTAATGTTAATGTTTGATGGAAAGCTTGAAGTCTTGAACCCTTCATCAACTCTCCATGTATTACTGCATTCTTGCTTTTCTTTGGGTTATTTGTATTCAGCCATGCCTACTGCTCTTGTAATTTAATCATTCATATATGGAACCAGTTTCTCCAGCATTTTTCATGATCAAATTATGCCTTATTCACTCTATCACTGTCTTGCCAGAAGTGTACCTGCACTACAGTTAAAAAAAAAAAAATTTAACATGTCAACAACCCTCCTTCATAGTGCAGAAGGCACTGTACTTCCTACCTCCAGGACTAGTCCAGCTGACTGGTTTCCCTGAATCCCTTCACAAATGTTACCATGCTCTCATTCCACCAGCACGTCTAGTCAAAAACTGTTCGTCTCCACTTGCTCGTGAGCGTTACATAAGAGCAAGTGGAGACTAATTTTTTTTTATGACTTGACATGCTGTTGGAGTGTGAGCATGGTAACATTTATGAAGGGATTCAGGGAAACTAGCTGGATTTGAGTCCTGGAGATGGTAAGTACAGTGCCTGCATTCTGAAGGAGGGATGTTGATATGTCACAGATTTTAACTGCAGTGTTGGCATGCCTCTGACAACAGCGTTCCCTCTCTCCGGGTCACTACCTTGGTGACAAACAGTTGATGCATTAATAAAATAAAAATCACAAATGCCTTTCTGTTCTTTAAGGCCCCAGCAGGTTAAGCATCTAATTCTAACTTTTTAATGTTACCGGTATTGCTCCTTTTTGTTCTTTATAATGAATCTTTCTTTCTTGCCTGTACACTGAGGAGTACAATCTGAAAGCATTTACAAATTCCTAAACAATTATGTCCAAATGAACTTTTAATTGCAGCAGAATTTCTCAATAAATTTTCCAAATCAGCCTTAAAGTCCCACAGTTCAATGAGTAGAAGTACTTTAAAGACATTATTGGTTTTGCATCTCTGGTAGTAACACTATTTTCTTCAACACAGTATCTCACAACATTGTTACCCTCAACTCTCCCACAATTCACTTCTGTTTAACTGGATCTTTTGTACTCGGCTCATTTATACTTCTAAGATTTCTAGCGAGTGGCTGAATTAAAAAAAGAGGATAAGATAGCGACGGCCACAATAGGCCGGGAGAGCAAACCGATGGCCACAAGAGGCCGGGAGAGCAAACCGATGGCCACAAGAGGCCGGGAGAGCAAACCGATGGCCACAAGAGGCCGGGAGAGCAAACCGATGGCCACAAGAGGCCGGGAGAGCAAAGGGAGGGCCACAAGAGGCCGGGAGAGCAAAAAGAAGGCCACAAGAGGCCGGGAGAGTAAAGGGAGGGCCACAAGAGGCCGAGAGAGCAAAGGGAGGGCCACAAGAGGCCGGGAGAGCAAATGGAGGGCCACAAGAGGCCGGGAAAGCAAAGGGAGGGCCACAAGAGGCTGGGAGAGCAAAAGGAGGGCCACAAGAGGTCGCGAGAGCAAAGGGAGGGCCACAAGAGCAAAAGGAAGGCCACAAGAGGCTGCGAGAGCAAAGGGAGGGCCACAAGAGGCCAGGAGAGCAAAGGGAGGGCCACAAGAGGCCGGGAGAGAGCAAAGGGAGGGCCACAAGAGGCCGGGAGAGCAAAGGGAGTGCCACAAGAGGCCGGGAGAGCAAAGGGAGTGCCACAAGAGGCCGGGAGAGCAAAGGGAGGGCCACAAGAGGCCGGGAGAGCAAAGGGAGGGCCACAAGAGGCCGGGAGAGCAAAGGGAGGGCCACAAGAGGCCGGGAGAGCAAAGGGAGGGCCACAAGAGGCCGGGAGAGCAAAGGGAGGGCCACAAGAGGCCGGGAGAGCAAAGGGAGGGCCACAAGAGGCCGGGAGAGCAAAGGGAGGGCCACAAGAGGCCGGGAGAGCAAAGGGAGGGCCACAAAAGGCAGCGAGAGCAAAGGGAGGGCCACAAGAGGCCGGGAGAGCAAAGGGAGGGCCACAAGAGGCCGGGAGAGCAAAGGGAGGGCCACAAGAGGCCGGGAGAGCAAAGGGAGGGCCACAAGAGGTCGGGAGAGCAAAGGAAGGGCCACAAGAGGCCGGGAGAGCAAAGGGAGGGCCACAAGAGGCTGGGAGAGCAAAGGGAGGGCCACAAGAGGCTGGGAGAGCAAAGGGAGGGCCACAAGAGGTCGGGAAAGCAAAGGGAGGGCCACAAGAGGCCCGGAAAGCAAAGAAAGAGATACAAGAGGCCGGGAGAGCAAAGGGAGGGCCACAAGAGGCCGGGAGAGCAAAGGGAGGGCCACAAGAGGCCGGGAAAGCAAAGGGAGGGCCACAAGAGGCTGGGAGAGCAAAAAGAGGGCCACAAGAGGTCGCGAGAGCAAAGGGAGGGCCACAAGAGCAAAAGGAAGGCCACAAGAGGTTGCGAGAGCAAAGGGAGGGCCACAAGAGGCCAGGAGAGCAAAGGGAGGGCCACAAGAGGCCATGAGAGCAAAGGGAGGGCTACAAAAGACCTGGACAAGGCAGTGAGGGCCACAAAAGACCTGGACAAGGCAGCGAGGGCCACAAAAGACCTGGACAAGGCAGCGAGGGCCACAAAAGACCTGGACAAGGCAGCGAAGGCCACGAAAGACCTGGACAAGGCAGCGAAGGCCACAAAAGACCTGGACAAGGCAGCGAGGGCCACAAAAGACCTGGACACAGCAGCGAGGGCCACAAAAGACCTGGACACAGCAGCGAGGGCCACAAAAGACCTGGACACAGCAGCAAGGGCTACAAAAGACCTGGACACAGCAGCAAGGGACAGAAAAGACCTGGACAAGGCAGCAAGGGCTACAAAAGACCTGGACAAGGCAGCAAGGGCTACAAAAGACCTGGACAAGGCAGCAAGGGCTACAAAAGACCTAAATAGGGTCCATGCTTAGAAAAGTTATCCTCATGTTTACTGTAAATTTTATTTTAATTCATTTTAGTAGTCTAGTTACTGCAACATTCTGAAACTAACCTGAATGTTCTACCTTAAGAAGAACCTCCAAGTGCAGTGTCCTAGGCTGCTGGATCACCACATGGAGAAGACCCAGGCCAGGACCCATCCTGGCAAAACAACCTCAAAGCACTTCCCAATTAAGGTTTGCTGTAAGACAAGGCTGGGAGGACCATTACAGAAACCATCAAATAAAGCCTTTTTTTTTTTTTTCTTCCTCAACACGCTGGCTGTCTCCCACTGAGCCAGGATGACCCAAGAAAGGAAACACTTTCACCATCATTCAACATTATTCTATTTAAGCCTTACTTATCTTTAACACATCTTTGATGAGTTTTAATAACTTCTACTCCCAGAGCCTGGCTCTTGGCCAGGCTCATCTGTTGCCTGTCTCGTCAATCAGGCTGTTGCTGCTGGCTTACATATCCATCACAGTCTGGTTGTTCTGGCACTTAAGAAGATAACTGTCCAATTTCCTCTTGAAAATTTCTACACTTGTTCCAGCAGTTGTTTCTGATATCTTCTGTCAAGATGCTGAACAGCTTGGGATCATGGATGTTGACAAAATGTTCCCTTATTGTACCCACTGAACCCATGCTTTTTACTGGGTTTATTTTAGGCTTCCACCCACATCTCTGGCTCTAGTACGTCATGGCAGTGTGCAGATTTGGGACTAGGCCCTCAAGTGTTTTTCACGTCTATATTATGTCTCTCTTCTCCAGCAAGTAAATGTTTACAGCTAAAGCATTCCCAGTAATTGAAATGTTTCATTGGCTTTATAGGATCTATAAAAGATCCACTTTCACTCCTATTTTAGGCCAAATACATTATACCAGTCGACCAAATTCTTAGTTATTTCGCTAGTTTTCAGGCTTTACAGATGAATTCAATTTTGATTTTTAATTCACGAAGAATTTTAATTCACACCTAATAATAGAAGACCTATGGTTATGCAATATTGTAATAATTTTACATATAAATAATATCAGCGCATTCATGAAAGTATATCAGACCCACCAGTTGACGTATATTGGACACGTCATTTGTTTACTCAAACATTGGCAAAAATTTAAAATTTCCGCTACTTTGAGCTCAATTTCCAGCTATTTTCAGTAGTAAAACCAAATAAAACCATCTCTATTTCTGTAATATATCTTCCATTCTATCAAAAGAGACCAAGAAACCATGAATACACCCATAAAAAACATACAAAAATACATCACAGTCACTGTTTTAATCCAAAAAACACTGTCACAGTTTTTTTCCTCATTATGCACTGCCTGCTGCAGGACTTTCTTTATATGGTGCACACTTACCACATAGATCCATTCTCTCATATCCAGGCCCAAATTTACACCATGAGCTGAGCTCATGGTGTAGAACTACTGCTCAAACCCTGTGGACAAGGCACAGAACTATGGTTTGGACCCTCTGGACAAGGCGTAGATCTACGGATTGGACCCTCAAAGGTTTAGTGGCGCACTAAACACAGTCATACTGCTACCTCAAGGAAAATTATGAAGATGGTTAACTAGAACTTTCAAGACAACTTATGCTGAGCTTGTGGTGATTATACAGAAGTCACTTGTTCTTACCAGACTGGAATACTGCTATATACTAACTTTCCCCTTCAAGGTAGGCAAGACTGGTAAGCTAGAAAATGTAGAGAACTTCCACTGCCTACACACCTTCAATCTAACATCCAAATTACTGGGAATGCTTAAGTACATTAAATTGGGTTCCTGTGAACATAAGCAAGAAAGATTTACCCTAATTTACACCAAGAAAATCTTGGAGGAACTGGTCTCAAATATGCACACCGAAATCTTTCCATATAAAAACAAGACTAGGAAGAAATGCAAGGAGAACACTAAGAGCACCAAGTGTCAGAGGTCCTGACTCCACGAAGTCCTCCCTTTGTGCATAAGGGGAATTACCAACAAACCTCTTGCTGTTTAAGATGGAACTTGACATGTTCTTTAGTCGGTTCATGGCCAGCCGAGCTAGAGTTCATACACTGGACTGCAAGCAGCCAGCAACAACAGCCTGGTTGATTGGCCCAGTACCATGCCAGGCAGCATGGTCTGGTACTAGGTTGCAAGGGTCACTGACTCATAAAAACATCCTTCAAGTATCCTACTGGCATCAGCAACATCTTGTTGTTGTACACTTAACAATACAATATTAACTCTCACTTTATTTCAACTTACAATGAAGCACAAGCTCAACTTACCACAAGCCAACACTGACAAAGGTAACTTACAAAGAAATGTAATTTTAGTATATGTAATCTACATGAAGGCAGTTAAAGCAGGTACAGAGCAGAAAAATAATATTACTAGTGCATTATGCAGGTGAATAGTTACATTACTATTATTTAACTAAGCATTCATACATTCTCAACCTTGGAATGAACTGCTACTAATATTGATTACTTTCTTGTATTATATCTACTTGACTTGCAATGCCAATTTTAACCTCAACACTCTTGGCCAAAATACAACAACAAAAAAAAAAAAATGCCAAACCTCATCTTGGAGTGTTGCAATTAGTTCTCCTTTAGCATCTAGATCATAATCCTTGGCACTAATTGTTGCCTTCAGTGTGAGCACTTGGTTGAGCTGTGCTTCTGCATCTTGTTGCAAGTCTAAAGCAACCTGGCGAGCTGTTTCCAGATCATTCTCAAGTTCTGCTATCTTTGTTGACGACTCCGATACCTACAGAGAAATTAAGTTGGTAAGCTTTTTGATTTTTAAGCTAATATGCACAAGTCACCTTGTCTCAGTGGCAGACGATCAGCACATTAAAAAAACCTACAAGTTTCCCCAGATGTAAATCCCCTAAGATTAATATACAAGACATGATTAGGCATTGTATATAGCTATAAAGAACATATAGCAGCATTAACAATGCTCCCTGAATCTCTCAGAAGACTGGAGTGAGATCAATTGCCCAAGACAATAATGTTACATCAATGTCAGTGGAGTGAGTTATGAATGTTTCTTCTTTTCTGGGAAACCCTGTCTTGGTGGGAAACTGCTGATATGTTAATAAAAAAATAAAATACAATGTTACAAGTAACAATGGTGCAGAGGTAATGAGTAACAATAATGTTGTGATCAGTCTCACACATTCTAAAAACTTGTGAAAGACAGACTACCCATTTTACTAGCAAGAAAGCTCAAAGTCAGGCTTTGCACTTCCTTTTTTTATCAGTCAAAATTCAGCCTAAAAGCTGATGTCCTACCTCAGCTTACTACACAGCCCAACTCTCCTTCCTAACCAGGATGTTAGTCTACTAACGCAACTGCAATAAAATGCCCAAAATTGTAAGCTTCCAAATTCACAAGTTTCTATTACCAAATATTTTAATGAAGGTCTCCTGCAATAAATTTCAATTATTCACGCTCTTTAACTTTTTTTTTTTTTTTTTTTTTTTTTTGGGGGGGGGGGGGGGGGGTTGGACCTCATCACATTACTATTAACTCTGAGGGTCGACAGGCCCTCTCAAGAGGCTTGTTCTCAGGGTCGGCCAAATTTAAAAAATAAATATTCTTTTTCTTATGAAAAGATAGAGAATCTTTTCCCAATCATAGACACACCAAAACTATGAAATTTGATGGAAAACTTACGGAATTATGCTCTCGCGAAGTTAGCGGTCTCGAAGATGTTTACGCATCGGCGATTCCGCCCACTTTGAGCCCTATTTTCAGCCAATTCCAGTGTACTAGTCGACAAAAATCATAACTATTTCTCTAGAACTCAATTTTTTCTATTGAATGAGTACAAGAAACCACCCATCTACTGATTTCAACTATCCAATACAGTGGTCTAAATTTAGCAATTTTGCCAATTTCACACAAATTTCAAAAGATGCCAATTTCCAAATAGGGTCCAGAATAAACAAGAAAGACATTCCTGGCACTAAAATAACATTTCCTCTGTTCGTTAGTCACGTCCCCAGGCCCCACTTAATTTCTTTTGCTTTCCACTTCAATTTTTATTCTTACAAAAAACTAGAAGATTTACTGTTATGCAGACTACTGCATTAGTGTAGAAATGGTATAAATAATATCAGCGCACTTGTGAAAGAATATTAGACTCACCAGTTGATGTGTATTGGACGCTTGGCATGATTTGTTTACTTTTGAACTTCAGTAAAAATCGAACATTTCTGCTACTTTGAGCTCAATTTCAAGGTACTTTTCATTGTAAAACTAGTCAAAATCATCTCAATTTCTGTAATATGTCTTCCACTCTATAAAATGAGACCAAGAAAACTAGAATACAACAATAAATACCATACTAAAATACAGTGCAAAGTCGCTCTTTTGTTCCAAAAACACGGTCAAAGTTTTTTTTTCTCATTATGCACTGTGTGCTGCAGGATTTTTTTTATACTGCGCACACTGACCACGCAGACCCATTCTTTCATATGTATGCCTACCAGCTTTCTCCCACTAGATTTGAGGGCGCTAGAATTTAGGCATACTAGTACATCAAAAACCCGGGTCGTAAGCCGTACTAGTACGGCCGAAACCCTCAAAGGGTTAACCCTTAAACTGTCCAAATGTAGATCTACAATTTCTCGCCAAGAGCTCTGAATATTTTGATTTTTTTTTTTTTAATGAAGAGCGCATTATTCTAAGTGTAATAGGATAAAAAAAAATTAGGGTCAGTACTTACTGAGATATAAGCCCACAAAGTTGGCATTGAATGATCAGGTGTCGGCAACATGGAGCACTGCTGTTTGCAGAAGTGTTGCCGATATACCTTTTTCTCGTTTTTAATTTCTATAATTTTTATGTCCTGATCATAGCAATTTATTATAGTTTGCGATTTTATGGCCAATCTTTGTACTGACACTAATATTAGATACAGAAATAGTACTCATAGTCACAATCACACCGACAGGTGAACACTTTCACCTGTCTTGGTCATTTACTATTGTCTAGAAATAGAATATACGAAGTATTTATAGGTCTAAGCAATGTTTTAGACATGCTGGAGTACATATGAAACCCTTTGAAGCATGGTGTTATGACAAGCATCACTAAACTGCTCACAGTGCAGGAATGGAGTGAGTGACAACTGATGATCGTGCACTGCTGCAGGGAACCCGGGCTTTATTTGTTTTCACCGTTACACACAAACATGTCTGTATCTGTGTATCTGCATTTGTATGTCTAGCGCCGCCTACCTGTCTAGCGCCGCCTACCTGTCTAGTGCCGCCTATCTGTCTAGCGCCACCTATCTGTCTAGCGCTGCCTATCTGTCTAGCGCCACCTATCCGTCTGTTTGCCTGTGCATATCTGTCATTCTGTCAGCCTGTGTCACTCTCGGTTCTTTTGTCTGAGTGTGTGTGTGCATGTCTGTTTGCCTGTGTGTGTCTCTCTCTTAACATCTGCTTGTCTCTCAGTCTTAGGGAGCGCCTAGTAAACCAACATGTTACACACGATGCAGTCGTCAAGTCTGATTCGTGAAAATGCATATTAATCGCCAGTAATGCTTTTTGTTTTTTCCCAACAAGTCTGTTGTCTCCCACCGAGGCAGGGTGACCCACAAAGAAAGAAAATCACCAAAAACAAAATACCATCATCATTCAACACTTTCACCTCACTCATACATAATCACTGTTTTTGCAGAGGTGCCCAGATAAAACAGTTTAGAAGCATATATATAGATATATAACATGCCCCTCCAAACTGCCAATATCCCAAACACCTCCTTTAACCCTTAAACGGTCCAAACGTATATATACGTTTTATCAACATTTGAAAGTATGTTTTTTTACACATTTGAAAATGTGTAAAAAAACACTTACATTTTTTTGGGGTTATATTTGAAAATATGTAAAAAAAAACAGATCTACTTTTGCAGCACTACGGATTTGAACGTCTATCTATTTGGACAGTTTAAGGGTTAAAGTGCAAGCATTATACTTCCCATTTCCAATACTCAAGTCCAGCTATATACAAATAACCAGTTTCCCCGGGTCCCTTCACTAAATATTACCCTGCTCACACTCCAACAGCTCGTCAGGTCCCAAAAACCATTCATCTCCATTCACTCCCAACTAACATGCTCACACACGCTTGCTGGAAGTCCAAACCCCTTGCCCACTAAACCACCTTTATCCCCTCCCTTCAACCTTCTCGAGGACGACCCCTACCCCGCCTTCCTTCCCCTACAGATTTATACACTCTCCATGACATTCTACTTTGATCCATTCTCTCTAAATGACCAAACCACCTCAACAACCCCTCTTCTGCCCTCTGACTAATACTTTTATAAACTCCACACCTCCTAATTTCTACATTCTGAATTTTCTGCATAATATTTACACCACACATTGCCCTCAGACAGGACATCTCCACTGCCTCCAACCGCCTCCTCACCGCAGCATTTACAACCCATGCTTCACACCCATTTAAGTGTGTTGGTACCACTATACTTTCATACATTCCCTTCTAAGCCTCCATAGATAACGTTTTATGTCTCCACATATACCTCAATGCACGATTCACCTTTTTTCCTTCATCAATTCTATGGTTAACCTCATCCTTCATAAACCGCTGACACGTCAACTCCCAAATATCTGAAAACATTCACTTCTTCCATACTCCTCTCCAATGTGATATCCAATTTTTCTTTATCTAAATCATTTGATACCCTCATCTCCTTACTCTTATCAATGCTCACTTTCAACTTTCTACCTTTACACACCCTCTCAAACTTGTCCACTAACCATAGCAACCTTTCTTTAGAATCTCCCATAAGCACAGTATCATAAGTAAAAAGTAACTCAACTCCCATTTTGCATTTCATTCCCAAAAATTTAATCCCACCCATCTCTCCAACACCCTAGCATTTACTTCTTTTACAACTCCATCTATAAATATATTAAACAACCATGGTGACATTACACATCCTTGTTTGAGACCTACTTTTACCAGGAAGTAATATCCCTCTCTTTTACACACCCTATCCTAAGCCTCACTATCCTCATAAAGAACTCTCTACAGCATTTACTAATGTACTACCTATTCCATATACAGTAAAGCCCCGCTTACTCGGCAGGTTAGGTTCCAAGCTACTGCAAGAAAGCAGACTTCGCCAGAAAGCAAAACTTTTTTTCCCATTTATAAATGCATATAAATCCCAGGTAACAAGTTTATACTAACATACACCTACCATCCGACTTACGACCAAGTTCCGTTCCGAGAAACCAGTCTTAAGTCGAAATGGACGCAAGTCGAAATGGACGCAAGTCGAAATGGACGCAAGTCGAAATGGACGCAAGTCGAAATGGACGCAAGTCGAAATGGACGCAAGTCGAAATGGACGCAAGTCGAAATGGACGCACGTCGAAATGGACGCACGTCGAAATGGACGCACGTCGAAATGGACGCACGTCGAAATGGACGCACGTCGAAATGGACGCACGTCGAAATGGACGCACGTCGAAATGGACGCAAGTCGAAATGGACGCAAGTCGAAATGGACGCAAGTCGAAATGGACGCAAGTCGAAATGGACGCAAGTCGAACTTTACTACTGAATATCAATATCACATTTTTGTAATGACTATTTTATTGTTCTATTTTGGTATTTCATGTTTTACTTTACTTTTTATGCTGTTAGTACTGTATTTTATACTGTAAGGTTTAGGATAAACACTGTGTACAACACAAATAGTTGTTTATTTCCCAGAAATT